CTGAAGCTAGATCGATGCCTATGTTTTCCTATTCGCTGACGCTGCCCCGACGCTCCGAGTTCTGGTGGACGCTATTGGCCGGCGGTGAACGGCTGCCGCAAAGTATGAAAGCAGTCTAAGTTATTTATTTTGATGAAATGCTACCACATGATCATTGGGAACAACCCGGAAGAGTTTCTGGCTTACATCACTCAATATTGTTTTGTCCCATGGAAAAAGAACAACACCGACAGCACGGAGCCATCATGGACGAGGCCCAAAAGGATTTGGGGCATTTAGATATCCTGAATCAACATTCGCCCCTCACCCCCCTCCCTCCGAAATTATGAGCGGAGAAAGGAACGGAGGAGAGACATAGCACCCAGCTATGCATCGAGAAGGTACAGTCGTTAATACCGAAAGTACAGTTGTTATCACTGAAGTCAGTCAGAGCGTGTTAGCGGGGCGTAGTTTTTGGCTTCGCCCCAGCCCTCGCTCCTTCGCACTAATGGAAACCACATGCCCTGATGGTCGTAGATGTGGTTCGCGTTGCGCCAAATTCCACGACTAGGCATGCCCCGACGGCTTGACGTGGTAACGAATTTAATGCAGTAGCTTTGCGAGAGAGGGCGTGGTGTGAATTAGAGCGCCGCCAGGGAAAGCTTTTTTCCACCAACTGTTGCAGGCTCAGAATGGCATCAATCGGTGGGAAAGGCCGCCTTGGCTGCTCTCCTTTCCACTCCCTCTTGTTTACAGGGTTACGACTGTACTCCCACGGTCCCACAGTATGTACCTCCTCACTGTATCGCTTCGGGAATAATCATGGACCCGAAGCCAGCCCTCCCGCGCCTGAACACTATTTGAAGTATTTGCAGAGCTAAATGTGCTCAATTGAAGTTTGAAAATACGAGTGGGCAGGTGTGTGAAATTCGAAACGTGAAGGATTTGATCCATCACTCCCATTGAAATCCATTGGGGCAATGGGGAATAACTTAAGGCCCCTTAGGTACACGCTGGAATTGAGCAAATATTGTAATTGACGGGACCCCTGTCCCACATTTCTGAAACTCTAACCATAATTCGGTGCTCGATCATATCTCCTTCTTGTTTCTGATGTAGCGATGAGTCTCTCAGAGGCTAGACATAACTTCCATATCCAGGATATGGGGAGGCGTGGCTGCGGACGTGACTCAAATAGATCGTGAGATGTATTTTTGCGGGACACTTCCATTTCCATTTGAAACATTTGTCATCCTGAAGAGGTAGATGAGGACATGACTATAACTGTCTCAAAAGAAAACTACGCCACTGGAAGCGCAGGCGCAGCCATGAAGTACGCAGCCACGCCCCCTCTACTCTTGGATATGGAATGTCAATGCAGTTGGTACCTGTATCAATTAGGGTTATGCTCCAAATCATTCCATTATTAAACAGTCAATTCAGCCTAGAGAACACTT